GAAAGAAGTTGCGCTCAGTGTCGTCTTCAGAGATTTTCAGGCCGTTTTCTTCAGTGATTCTTGGTGTGGCAGCACATTAGGCAAGAGGTAAACAGGTTGCTCAAAAGGTTTTGTTGCTTTGAGACAGCGCAGTGTGGAAGAGAACACCACCAGCTGAAAATATAACAAATGTCATTTTGGTCCTCAACTATAAGATCAGGAAAAACCCTTCAGGAGAACGTTGCACTATTGAAATGAAGTAAATATGAAGTTTGTCGTTTGTTTCGCAACTGGTGACGGTGATATTTTTATGGTGTAAAGCACTTTGAACTTCCTTGTTGCTGGAATGTGCCATGCAAATGAACTTGAACCTGATAGCATCATCCCAGTTTTCAAGCACATGCATGATGACACATGATACATCACTCCCCTCTGTATCAGGGGACAAATAATCCTGGCCAAGACCACCATACCTAAAGTTAAATATACATGACCACTGTTACGACTTGAAGCATAAACTCTGTTTACATGTTGTGTACCACAAGCACTTGTGACACCATACTGAAATCGCACACAAATTCAAGAATCCTTTCAAAGCAGAAACATGCCATCATATCCTACAAATCTGGTCAAACCTAGCAAGAAAACCTGACAAAAGTACAGCAAAACAAAAATTGTAGTGTTAGCATCTACGGATACAGTAGCCATCAACAGGAATCCACATATAACAAAGACCTTTACTGCCTGTCCAGAAAGTTCCATTAGTTGAACACTTTCACTATTTAAAGATTCATAATGGGTTCAGACAATAGTCTTTCCTGTTTATATGACTTAATGTAGGATGAACTGGGATCTATATTGTATATTTTTTCTTGTTTTCCAGTTGATGACATTTACTGCCGTTTCCCAGTGTGTTTATGATTTATACAATGTGCTCTGTTCAAGATCTAGTGCTGTATACAGTGTCTCTACCTCATTCTGCTGCCAGCAGCCTGGTGTGTTGCTGCTCAGGCTGATTGATTGGTGTGTTCCTTTTGCACAACTTGGTGTCCAGCTGATGATTTAACAAATAAACCCTTATTCAACACACACAAAAAAGAAATAAAAGTAAAACGAGAGAAATAAACAAATGAAGGCAAGAGAGAGGAAGATGAATGATAAATATTGCTGAGAGAAGGAGAGAAAGGTAATAAAGGGAAGAAAAAAACAGATGGCGGACAAAACAAAGGGGACATTAGCTTAAATGAAAGTTTATTAGCTGTATCAGTCAGTCAAGTCAGGATGGGGTTGGGAGTTTTGCCCCAGGCCCTCCACTCTTCCTCTCCATCTTTTACTAGCCTTCACCCCCTTTCTCTTTGTGTGTGTGTGTGTGTGTGTGTGTGTGTGTGTGTGTGTGTGTGTGTGTGTGTGTGCGTGCGTGCGTGCGTGCGTGCGTGCGTGCGTGCGTGTGTGTGTGTGTGTGTGTGTGTGTGTGTAGGGAGGGAGGGAGGTTTTGGAGGGGAAGGCGGGCATGACGGGAAAACATTAGGTTGCTGGCGACTAGCCTGAACACCAGCCAGTAATTGGCTGGGGTAATGGTCATGTCCAGACAAATAGTGTAGGCCTTAACCACGTTAGGCGGAGCAGTTGGTTGCTCCAGTGTTCGCAGTGCAGCAGCCAGCACGCAGCTGTGGATTAACATCATAGACATGAGATTTACGGAGACGCGGCTTCGAATCAAACGCACTCTGGACAACCCTCTCGTATATTAGATATTTGGGAGACAAGAGGCGGAAAGAACTGCAGGACGAAAGTCGGCGAGAAACGAGGATCAGGAGGATGAAGCCAATATTTCATCCGTCCCTCCCTCCTCTTTGCATCCCTTTGCCTTCTGTCTGATGGCAAGCTGAGCCGCTAATGTCCATTGTGTCTGGTTGGGCTGCAAAGAAACAAAGTCTGCTGCTGCGTGTCTTTATTTGTGTGTGTGTTTGTGTTTTTGTAAAAATGAGACGCAACTGCTCCTACAGTAGCTAAATAACACGCGTGCTGTAAACGGATAAAGACGAGAGAGAGAGAGTGAATGTGTGTGTGAGATGGGAGCCCCTCAGCCATCCAGCTATCATCTCCTGCCAGACAGGCCCCACCAAGCCATCCCAGCTGGATAATGAGATCCATTATGATTTACGGGCCAAAAGGACAGCAAGCAAAGACACACACACACACACGCACACACACACATATGCAGAAAAGCAACTGAAATTTGAAACAGAAAACAGTGCAGAACAGAGAACCCCCATTCATAAACACACAGAGCAATGTGCACCAAGCTTTGTGCATGTGTAGGCTTTGCTGGTTGCCTTTGGGCTACACTATAGTGGCTCCTCTTTCAGCCCGCAACTTGAGAGCTCCCTCCATCCCTTATTCACACTCACACTTCCGTCCCTGATCCACCTCTCACCTGACAAACAGAGAAAGGCAAGAAGTTCCCACACAGCCACACGCAATCACACACTGCTTCCCCAACAAAGAGAGGTCTGCTTGGATTCCGTAAGAGAGATTCAACCCAGTATGAACGCTGGAACGGATTACAGACACAGGTAAAACAAACAGAGGTTAAACGTTTGCATTAATGGCTGATGGGACCAGCTACGGATCTTTCTGGAAGCTTTGCCTAAATGCTGAAAGCAACATTTCATTGACTGGCTGTGTCTCTGTTGACCTGAACTCTTTATTCCCAGACTGCTGGCCAATTGTGGTTTAGATTTTTTTTTGTTTTTTTTGTAATGTTCACAATGGGATTTAGGAGTTTATATGTTCTGATTTGTGGAATAAGCTGCCAGTCTGGGCACAAAACAGAAGTTTTTCCAACATAAGCAGTTTCAGTGCTCAACTAGTGCTTAGCTGGTTGTTAAAAAAAGGGAAGAGAACTGGTTTTGCTTTCTTACATTGTATCACCGAAAAACCTGAATCACTTTGTCTCTGTGTGTCCATACAGGACTCAACCCTACAAACACGCATCTTGACTTTAAAAAAAACTCAGTTCCAAACAACAATTCATGTCAGAATGATTCACACTACTGTGGCTTCTGATCTGTACTGATAAATGCAACCAGGAATTAGAGAAACAGTTTTGATTTATTAACACTGAATGATGATCTAAAAAAATCACTTGTGTTTATAAACAAAGCTGTGAGCTGCATTTATAAATGCCTTTAAAAGCAGATAGTAAATACAGCGATGACTCACATTTACTTTTGAGAATGAGTGATCTTAAACTGCGAGCAGACGAGGAAGGACAAACATTTCCAAACAATTTCAGCTCTCACTAATCCATGTTCATTCTTAATTCACTGATTGTCCAGTCTGCACTACATCTGAAAACTTATTACGCTATCAGAGATTTAAACCCTCTGATATTAATTTAACTTCAAACACAAAAAATAATACTTGTAATACGGTTCAGTGTACACTTAATCCCTGGTATTTGCAGAGATTAGGTACCAAAATCCTTGAGACTGACCTGGAAAATACGTGCAATTGTCTATCTTAATAGTTCAAACAACAAATATATCTTAAAGGGACAGTATTACGTAAAATAAACTTTTCTGAGTTCCTCATCAAAAACATACCCGGAGTGTTGCTGTAATTCATCCATGCATGTGTGACAAGTCCTTTAATCTCCCGTGGCAACCATTCAGCTATGTAAAATGCCTGGGTGGACCTGGCCCCGCCTTTGACAGCGGAGCTCCTCCTCACAGCACCAGCACACAAGTTTCTGTCTCACAGAGCAGCTCTCCCCAAGGACTTTCCCACATTGCTCCTTCAGACTAGCCAGCAGCAATTAGCAAACACCTGGTGGAACTGCTCATCTGCTGACCTCATTGTAGGAGCTACTTCTCATTGCAACATCACTGATGATGGAGTTTCAGAAAGAGTAGGAGCTTCTTAAAGGGAGAAGCCTGATTTCAAAGACTTAAATTACAAAGTCAAATTTCTTTTAAGTCACATCAAAAATATAGCATTTTAAAAACAACTGGAGTCAACATGGTAACTTGATTATGCTATAAAATGGCTCTAAGTGTCTGGAAACACAGAAAACTGCCCTTAATAAGCATTAATGCACAGTGGAAGCCATCATAGCACTACTACAGGAAGTAACATCTACAGCCTTCCTGATTTCAGCTCTTGGGAGGTACAACCAATCAGCACAAAGAAAAATAAATGACTCTCCTAAATTGGCTGCTTTGTAAACAGTAGCCACAAATACAAAGTTTTCCACAATTTGGAGTTGGATTCCACAGAAAAATCCAAAAATTTTGGACCTAAAATACCCATCACAAAAAGTGTAATTAAAAACTTAAGTGCAAAGCTGCACTGTTGCAATAAATACATATAAAGGAAGAATCCAAATAAAAATGTGATGCACTTTAAAAAATTTTTTTAATAAAATGGCCTCTATCATCCACACACAGAGTGAAGCATGCCTTCCCTCTCTGAATGCCAGGCACTGAACACAATGGCAGGATTCTCTGTTGTTTCTGTTTCATGAAGTACTCAAGTGATGCCAGCTCAATTAGTAGCCTGAATGCCAAGATCCAGACTGGGGACAGATGAAGAGAGATTAACCGATGAATGAGAGGGACTTTGGCGCAAAACAGGCTACAAAAAAGAAATGAGGTTAAATAGACAATATGCGGATGTCTTCTAGGAATTTGCAAAAGCCCAAAAAGATCTCATGAATAGCTAAACCGGGAAAAACAGAAGGAAGGAGGACAAAAGAGCTTGGTGCTAAAATGAAGCCATGAAAAAGTTGCAGAAGTTGCGAGAAGATCTTGTGTTCCCTGAACTCTGCATAGACACGCCTATAAAATGAACAAACAGCCCCGATCCTCAACGGTATGCAGTGGACTTCTGTCATCAAATGTGATCTGCACATGCCAACATTCAGTCAGCTGCAATTACCCCTACAGGACGACAAACACAAAGAGACTCTTTTTATACAAGCAAACACTGCACAGCAAAAACTGGAGTGTTAAAATTTCAGGGTTAAACGTGTCAGAGTTAATTTTAACTCAGTAAGTGTATTTTTAACATTTAGCGATGTAATTGATGCCCAGTGTTGGAGTTATTTCGCAGAGTTGATTGCGTTGGTGTTGAATCAACTCTGCTGGGAGATAAATAAGCTCCTCCCCTCTGCTCAGTTTGATTTCAATCTGAACACGGCTCCATTTTCTTCATCTCCTGTTCTACACGGTAAGTGTCCAACTTACTAAATATTTTGTCCAGCACTATTACATTGACAGAGTGAGTGATTTGACTATTTCTACTAATTACCACATAATGAAAAGCAGCTGAATATGTCCATTTTGCAACAGTTTTACACAACATGTTAGCTGGTAGCTAGTAGCACTTACACCTGATATTATTATAATGGAAAATTTTTACAAAACATATTTTGTCAGACCATACACTCGTAAAAATATACTTCTACGTTTTTGCCGTTTAAAATGATAATTTTGGCCTTGTGAATGTAAGCTAACGACTATTAGCTTCCGCGGAGCGTCAACGAGCCGAAGTCACGTGACACCAATAGCAGAGTTACAGTGAGGTGAACTCTTGACCTTTACCTTATTTTGCTTTGTCTAGGTTTATCCCATGCTGAAATAAAATGCTGATCCATGTAAAGTTTGGTGACCTGCAAAAGTATGTGAAGTTGGAGGAGGTCGAAGGGCTGTTTGACTTTAATCAGTTTCATGAGAAAGGTTTGTTATTTATTTATCATCTGTGTGGGTCATAGGCATTATTCTTTTCAATGTATGTCTATTTAACACATATTTTACACATTTGTGGTAAGTAAAAATTGTATTTTCATTAATATGTTTTATGCTAATCACATGATCAATATCAAGTAACTTAGTTTTAAAAAATCCAGCTAATTACAGAATTAGGCTCTAAATCTTGCCTTGTTTTTTCAGTCATTGAACAATTTTGCCTGCCACCTGATACCAAAGTTACATACAAAGATACAACAGATACTGAAGTTGACGAAGAAATATTCAGTGACCTCCTTAGACAAGGCAATGTGGTACAGACAGTTTTCTGCTATGATGGTGAGATACCAAAGCAAATTAAATACAGATTTTACCAAAGAATGTAACTGATGTCTATTGTCTCTTTCTCAGAGTTCTCAGAATGGTCATCTGCTTCTGACTCAAGCTTCAACTCAAATGCATCAACATCAACAATACTAATGGATGAGATGCCACGCAAGAAGCAAAAAACTGAGAATCCTGATAACTCAGTGTCTGCTAAAAATGTAACAATATTTTTGTCTGCCTCTAAATTCTGTTTGTATGTCCAGACATGTTTTGTCGTATTTTGGTCATCTGCATATTGCATATTTCCTTTTTTTTTTCTTTTTTTATTGTTCATTTTATAGCTGGTTGAAGGTGTCCTACAAAGCAAGTCTGGTGGTGAAGAAATTCTGCAGGAGTATGAAACTACAGAAACCCTAACTGATGCCACAAGAAGACAAATGGTGAACATACTGGTGGCTCACATGATTGATGAACAAGGGTATGTTTGTTTTTACACTATTTAATTTATGTATAATAATTGAAAAAAAGGTTTAATCACCAATTTAAAATCTGCTCTTAGGCACCTCCCCACAAAAGCAATCAGAGACAAGTATGGCTTTGGAATAGTGACACTCTTCGCATCCCTCAAGGATCCATACACCAAAAAAGGCAATGTAATGTTTTTTTTTTGTTTGTTTGTTTGTTTGTTTGTTTTTTTCTACAATCAATTTTATTTTGTGACTCAAAACTGTAATTTTGCATTTAATTTTTGTTTTTTTTTTAGGAGGCCATATCTCTGCTTAACCACACCACAGACAGGTCTGTGATCTTTCAGAAGATGAGAGAGACTTTTGAGCACCATCACAAGCTCATTAAAGATGCCAGTGGAAGAAATGATATCCTGACCACATTCCCGGGGTTCCTGGACACAAAAGGATTGGTAAGTGTTCAACTGAAGTCTTTAAATGTGGATTTTTACATTGTTATAATGGTTTGATTTCTACATGCTATTAAAGATTGATCAAGACTCCCGTCTCCTATTCAGTGAAGAAACCTCATCCAGACTGCTGCAGAAGTGGGATGTGTTCTTCAAACCAAATGTCATCAAGGAGGCTAAGCGTTTCACTTCTCCACCTGAGTTGAGAAGTTTGGTGCAGTCAGCGGAAAGTCTTCAAAGCGATGACCTCACTAACACATCTAGTAAGTACCTAGATATATCTGAAGATAGTTGACTATTCAGAGTACTCATAAAGTTCTGATATTATAGCTGAAAACTTTTATAAATTTGTCCTCAGGCTATGACCAAGAAATGGCCTCGCTGTTACTTCTCTTACATCTTCTTCCACCGCAACCAGAAGGACAGAAGTCTCCAAAAATCAGTGCAAGTGATGCAGATGAGAGACTTGTTGTCTTTCATAAGGTAATTGAAATTTAAATATGCAAAATTATTTGTCTATTTCCTTTTATAGACATGCATAAATACAGATGTTTGAATGACAGCTTTGAAGATGTCTGGGCATACTTAAATTAATTTTTATGTCACATGTATCGTAAAGCTGTATGTTTTGTTTCTAATGTTTGGTGTATATCTTTTTAATTTTAGTCATGCTGCAGTTTAGAGGAGCATCATCGGAGTCAACGGGGTCTGCAGCCATACCTCCTTGCTGTTGGGCGTCAGAAAAGCAAGATTGACAGATTCTACATCGTCATGGATAAGTGCCTCATCCCATGCCAGACAAACAGTTCTCTTGGAACATTTGATGAGCTATTCAAAGCACATTTTGTGTTTAATTTCTCTTATGATGCTGCATTGATGAATTTCTACACATTTCTGCAGACAACAGTGTATAACATTGACGTGGGCAAAATGAAGGAATCGCCCAGAGTTAGGGACGTGAGAGCAAGGCTGCTAAACCAGTCCATTGGGCTCTCTTGTGAGTAAGTCAGGCTAAAAAATGTTGACCTGTTTTTATGTGTCAAAAACTGTATCCAAGCGGACACATTTGATCATCATCATGCTTTCAAAATTGTTCAAAGTGAAGAAAGGCATTTAGTAAAAATCCCTGAACTTAAATTTCTTTTGATATTCAAAACTCTTATGGCATTTCTAATGAATGTGTGATCATTGTACCACAATTTAAAATGTTGGAAACACAGCTGCAAAAATAAAGTGTTCAAAATGTATGTACTTGTGTCAAGTTTTTTTTCTTAATAATTATTATAATTAATCATAATCATAAAGTAACTTTTTTGGAATGAATAACACTTGAAAGTGTTAAATCAACACTAATAAAGTGGTACATTTTGTTCCTGGATCAGTGTTATCCAGTATATCCCACAGTGTTAAATTAACCTGTTTTGTGAGTTAAATAAGTAACTCTGATAAAGTGTTAAAATTTTAACTATATTGAAAGTGTTAATTTAACTCTTGATGAGAGTGGACTATATAAGCACTGAAAAAGTGTTAAAATCAACTCTGTGGGAGTTAAATTAACACTGGACTTTTTGCTGTGTGAACCCTGAGAAGACTCTGACATGTCGAGTCACATTAAAAGGTCAAATATATTAAATGAACGTTGATGTCAATGAGACCAGATGAACTGTGCTGCAGTCTAGAGGCTAGGGGAAAGAAAAGAGAAAAAGCAGCACTGTAAGTATTACAGACTTTGATAGAAATCAGAGTAAGTTCACACAATTTGCTCCAAACTTCATATGGTAACAATTCTGTATATTTACGGTGTAGGAACACAAACAGATCAGATTTTAATAGTGGTAAAATGTCTGCATTAGTATTATAACCAGTAAAGGGACAGTTACCCAGAACAAATTGCTTTGAAACATTTCCAGATGCTATAATCTCTATCTTTGTGACAGTGATGTATATTTTGGTCCCAAAGGGACTTTCTGCACAACAATGTCACATAAACATTCCTATTTGTGGCATTTCCTCCATATGCGACTCAAAACACAAAGTTACAGTTTGCAACAAATTCTCATGTTAAGCACAGCTCATAGTGATTTCAAGTGGCTGAAACGCCAGGCTAATGTTGATCTAATTTGATGCAACTCGGTTTGGTTCGCAACACATATCAATCGGTTCTCATTGAGAAATTTGTGGGAAAACTTACAGAAAGAGTTCTCCTGCTTTATAAGCCTAGTGATTTGCTTTGAACATCATAATACTAATGACTAGAGTTTCAGCTGCTCTTTGCACAAAACAACAGCTGTCTGGGGAGACCTGAACACACTGCAAAGAGGCAGGAATTTGTAGTTTCACTGACCGACATCTAGAACCAGTGTTTCAGAACTTGTGCAGCTACAAGGGAGCTTCTTTGGTTCTTTCTTTTGTGAATTACACAGTGAAAGGTGACAACACCCAAAACCCATTACTGACTTAACTAAAGTGCCCTGTTTTATAGAACAAAATATGCTGCCATTGGCTTTGAAGCATTTGGAAGTAACAGTAAAAGGGGCCAAGTTGGCTAAAGCTTGTGCTAGCTTTATATCTAGTTAGCTGCCATGTGAACGCCGAAGCAAGAATGCACCCGTACACTGATTTATTAAACATGATCATATAACTGAAGTCTCAGGATAACATTTTGTCATATTCTATAAGCATGGTTTTACAGCAAGTCTTTTATTGGGTCCAGTTCATTACCAGTCATTTAAAATGCCTTTGTCTGGATTTCTATCAAATTATTTGAATCAGAACAGGACGTTCCTAATATTGTTTTTATTGAAAGAAATGGTAATAGTTACATACAATATGGTAGTTATTATAGCAGAATAACAATGTGGCAACAAAATGAGAAAAAAGACGTCAAAAAGTGGCTGATATGTTTCATTGAAAAGTGAAATTTGGTACCATTATAAAAACAAACCTAACTCGGGTTCTCTTAAAGTAAATGTCAGCTTTTGGTCAAAGATATCTGCTTTGAAGTCTTTGGTGTAAAAACTGAGCTCATCTTGCCAAGGCCAGTTTGTGCACACTAATGCATTCAAGATGGTAAATGTAATGGCTGTTTTGATTCAATGTCACAGTCAAAAAGCTTTGGCAAAGAACTATAAATGCCACTCAGCAGGCTTTTATCCAGAGAGCCTGATTGAATTAAGTGTCAGCAAACTTACCAGGGAGATGATACCGTAACCATTCTCTGCATGGGTATTTTCAGACAAATTTCTGCCGTTAGCATAAAACTTCCATCAGCATTTTAAGAATGGCCTGGTTGTCTGGTTGTAGGTTGTGGTGTGAAAGCGGAACCCGCTGCACCACTGGTGCCGCGTCTCCCATACAACTAAACAGCACCAACATCGGAACATGTCGAAACTGGAATTCTTTCCTCTAATCGTTCACCAACCAAACTATTCTGCCTCTCAGTTCTTCCTCATCAATGATTCACCGGCAAACTTATCTCAGTTCGAACCCCCAACCCCCAACTCCTCTCTACTCGTATCTCAGTCTTCCTAAACAAAACAACTCCTCGCACATGGCGGTGCCGGCCCTAATCACTTCCCTCAGCACCAGGTGGTTCTCATCGACTGAGACCCGGCTCCTCCACTCGGCAGGATGCTTCTCCAGAGGAAATTGGCTCGTCTACACGCATTTATTGCTCATGAGCTGCGTGGAGCCGGATTGTCGTGCAGGCCATGCAGTGCTGCCGTTGGACTCCGTTCAGGCCGTTTGAGTGTCCCGGTTTTGCTGTGAGGAAACAGCTGCCGCAACACACACTGAAGAAACTGGTAGAAACACCCTTTTCCTATTTCTTGCGACCGTTGAGCTGCATTGTGTGGAATTAAGTCGCAGTGTATGTAATAAGTAGATTCTAATTCATGCAGCTGCTGATGTGGCTTTTCTCTGCTAATAAAGAGGATGAAAGAAGTGTTAATCAACCTGAGAATCTCATTTGGGGCAATAAGAAGCAGGGGGGGAAAAACTCCCTTGCGATGTTTCTGCACATACAGTGCAGAAAATGTGACTTTATATGCATCGGTGATGCTAAATTTAAATGATCTGAATAAAAAAATGCCTCGTCTTGTGGCACAGAACCTAATTGTGGCCTCTAAAATGTTTTTTTTTTTTTGGCCCCTGACCATAAGTAAAGAATGCTAAACATAAAAATAAAAAATTTGGCCAACAACAGAAAAAAATTGTTGGCCTCAAAAATTTGGAAATTGTTTTTCTTTTAATAAGGCAAAAGTCTACAGTACTTTTTTATGTTTTGGAAATATAATGATTTATAGATTCCATAAAAAAAATAAAAACAAATTCACAAAAAACACATTTTGGCATTTGCAACGCATTTTGTGTCCAGCCAACAGTTTAAATTTGCCAGTTTTGGCCCCAAAGGCAAAAAGTTTGGACACCACTGCCTTTTTTATATTTTGTCATAAAGCTATTTTATGTGATGGATCAAGTTTTCTGTGTGTTTTTTAAAAGGCGGTGATATCATTTTGTAATCCATCTCTGTTTTAAACATCTCCACCATTTGCTTTTTGTTCCCATCTAATGCCTTTACAAAACACCTACATTTGTGCTGAAATGTCCCGACACCCAGCTGGACTCTAAACCAGGGGTGCCCAAAGAGGGACCTTGAGGTCCTGCACCTTTTAGCTCTCTCCCTGGTGACAGTATCAACCATATTAGCATGTCAATGTTCTTCTTAGGCCTGTAAAGAGCCATCATTTGATCCAGGTGCGTTAAACCAGGGAGAGAACTAAAACATGCAGGACACCGGCCCCTCGAGGACCCACTTTAGACACCCCTGCTCTAAACTTTTTATTGGTTGAATATTTTTGACAACCATCTTATACTCCTGTAACTTCATCCCAATCCCAATCCCAAAGAGGCAGATCAGAATATGTGATTTTAATGGAAGAGAATGTGGAAAAGTTTAAAGGATATGAAGATTTCTGCAATCAGCGAGAGCTGATTTTGAACAAACCTGTTCTCTGCTTGCAGCTTTTCAATTTCTCTCAGAATTCCCTGCTGTGGACCACAGCAGTATCCGTTCTGATTGGATTTAAATGTCAAGAGAGATGGGACAATAGAGTTATCTTCCAAATGATGACCCATTAAAGAGCCCAAGCAGTGTTCCTCCCTCCTCGACTAACTAATCACCGCCCAAATTCATCATCCCACAGACCAGAGCGTAATTTAATGGGCTGCGGTTTCCACTGCTTCCCCCTAACTCTGTGTGTCCACATCACGCTGTGACCGAGGATACTCAGGGAGTGTGTGTCATGTGGCATCAGTGTGTGTGTATGCGCGGTACCAGAGTGAGCCAGTTGGAAGCCGAGGGCCAGTGCCCCCTTAAAGGAGAAGAAAGAGAGGCAGAAGAGGAGGAGAGGGGCCGGCTGTTTTCCACCTGCATGCACGCACGCACACACACACGCACGCGCGCACACACACACACACAGGTATGAGGATGCCTCCCATCTGCCTCCTCTGACGTCACCTGCTGTCCTTAGGGTGTTATAGGTGGTCACATGCCAAAAGAGGAGCAGTATTTTTTGCCCCCATCCTGCTTTTCCCTCTTGACTTCTCTTTTGGCGTCTTCGTAGGACACCAAATTTTTACGTGTGGCTTTTATGCTACGTCGATTTCAACTGATCAGTGAGGAATATATGCGTAAAATATCACGCTAGCTGATTCATGGAGGACAAGACCTTCAAACTCCTCTCAATCTCCATATCTTTCCCTTCCTTGCTTTCAGTATTCAGTCATCTACACGCCTCCTCCGTGTAAAATGGCTTCCATTATTGCTGATTTGTAACCACTCTTCTCTTTGCCGCCTCTTTAATCTCTCTAAAATCTGTCTCATCTAGAAATGAGATGTAACTAGTAGGAATCTAAAAAGTTGCAGTTTCACCCTAACAGCTGTCTGTCCTCCTCTAAGGAGAATAAACTTGTATCTTAGGATTTCCAAAAGGCTGCCAACATTTTCAAACAGAACTGGAAAGCTTATGACAAGGACAGCAGGCACTCTTTTTGTCTCTTGGACCTAAATTGAAAGCACTAAAGAGAAATTACTTATCAAGCAGATGAAATGGTCAGATTGGTTTTGTTTGCTTGTTCTTTTCTAGGAAAGAGATACTAAAAGAAGAGAATTTAGTTTTTAAATTGTTTTAAGCTGAACTGAACAACCCTGGCT